TGTGTGTGTGTGTGTGTGTGTGTGTGTGTGTGTGGGTGCCTTTAACCTCACATGAGCAGCTTGAGTTCAAACCTCCAACAACATGGGAGTATCCCTCATCAACCTCCCGGCCACAGCACGATGGCTTCCTCCAAGATTTTGCCTGAATCATGGAGGAGAGATGCAGAAAAAAAAAAAAGTGAGACGGAGAGAAACCTGCAAGGCCAGTGGGCAACTTCAATAAAAAGACAATCTGACTTTTCAGAAGCTATAATAATCAAGATCCTCCCACCGAGGTTGTTTGTCTGAGGGGGACACGGATGACTACGGGTAAGGAGGAGGAAATTCAGAGCGGTAATTAATAGTCCTAAGTGACTGCTGCTGGATGGGAGGCAGGGACAGGGTTTGTTGTGAGCTGGTACCATGTCCCCCAGCATGTCCCACAGCCTTGTGGGTTGGCATGTAAGCAGAGGAGGAGGAAATGGAGAAAACTGCCTTTATTACTCATTCGTTTGTCTCCGGGGCCTCTCCTGATCAGACTCAACCACCCTCTTTTTCCCAACAAACACTCACACACACACACACGAGCGTGCCTTCCAATGCTAATCACGTGTATAAATGTTAAGGGACAGACATGAAGTATCACGATGTCAGTGTCATCACTCCACCCCTATCATTGGCTCATCCAACCCTGCCACCACCCTACCACCCCCCTGCCTGTAAAGAAATTTGAACATACACTAATTTGCATGTGTGTGTTTGTGTGTGGTGTTGTTCTTAGCCCTCGGCTGCGTGTTTCTGCGTGGAGCGGCAGGGTGGTTCCTATAATCCCATCACCATTGTCGTCGCGAAGGCCCAAAGGCCCCACCTGGAGGTCCGACATTTCTGGCATCCTCTGACTCCCCACTACTGCGAGAGCCAGCATCTGCGGAGCCAAAAGACACACTGTGCAGGACTGACACTACTCATACACTATACTGGCTGAAAGTGACTCACTGTGTAGTGGCTCTGGCTTGGAAATGAATGTGTTTGAGTTTTTTTTCCCCCAAGATTTAAAAACAGAAGCATTAAAACTAGAGGTGAACCCATCATTGATTAGTTGATCAATAGAAAATGAATGAAAAAATGTTGATTTGCTGTTTTGTCTTTAGTTTATATGTAATAATAAATGTATATATTTGGTATTTTAACAGTTACAAGGCACTTAAAGACACCATCTTGAGTTTTGGGAAATTTTTGCTGTTTTTTAATGTGTTTGTTTTTCAGTTTTTGACATTTTGTTGAGCTTGGATCAAGAAGAAAACAATGAAAATATGTATTCTTTGCAGCCATAATTTAAATGAGAAAATTTAATTACCCCCTAGAAAAAGCTTTTTGACGATTTGGTTAACTTTGTTTGCTTTGGTAATGTTAGAATCAAGAAATGATGAAAGATTTTATGTTCTATGGCCATTTTTCAACTTTTGTAAAAAAATATTCTTTTACTGTCATTACAATACAACACTGCATTTTACTAATTATTTTCTATTTAACAATGTGGATTATTTCCTGTACGTTTCTTCAAAAATCCACCTCTTTGGACAAGATCTAAGGAGCCAAATGTACAGACAGCACACGTCTACAGTACATCTGTCTGTCGTCATCTCACAACTCCCAGCGTCCTCCCAAACTGTCACCCAGCCTCCTGCCCACCCCCACCCCTCCTCTCCATGTTCACCCTACGCTGGGGATCCGACCTAGCACCAATATGCAATTTCACCAATCTGTGCTGACAGCGTTCATGTCGACTGCTCACAACCGATCCTTCCCCATCTCTCCCTCTGTGAGCATCTGTGTGGTTAGAAAACAGCACTCCGTCAGCTCTCACAGGTCATGAAAGGTAGCGGAGAAGACAGGCGGGGCTGTGACCCTGCAGCCCAGCTAGACAAATCAGTGTAACAGCATATTGTAAGCTACAGACTAGGCAGAGGAGGATATATGTACCAGGACTGGGGCTGTGTTTATGGCTGTGCCTGCCTTGGGAAGCCCCACGGCACTATCAGTGACCCCTACTGTAGATTTCCTTACTAATGTGACCCCAGATTGTGTATCACAATCGGCATGAGAAAACTCCCACAGGCTACAGTTAGTCCTGGGCACTGGGGATCGTTGTCTTCAGCCCGCCTGAGTACAGACAGGATGTGGCAGCTTGGAGGCATTTAGTTAAAGGAGACACACTTTATCGCTGCGAGCATGCATTTATGGAAGGCCGACTGGGGTAAAAGTGTACGACGTGCTGGAGCCTATAAACAAAAAGCAAAAAAGTGAAGGTTAGATGAAAAAAAAAAAGCAGAGAATTAGCTTTACCTTGTTTCGTGGCATCTAATCATTTGTGATAGTCTGTGCACTCATTCTTATAATTAATTTGTTTTCTGGGACAGATTTCTCTCAACAAAGTGGGTTTAAAAATATCATCTGTTCTATTATATTAAGTGGATGCATCGAAAGGGATGATGTGGATGTGCAAGGGAATAAGCATCAATGGAAGCAGTTCACATGAAGCAGTAGTGCTGCCCCTATGAGAATCAAGAGGCCGTAGATATTCAATATTGAATTTCAGATATTATAATGTCATATTCTGCAGGCTGGATATTCACATATGACTTGTTGTGTGAAATGTGATGCTTTGTTAAATACATGTCACAGTGTGGCTCTAAGCATGACAGCACTGGAAAAGCTTTGGGTGTAATCAGGAACACCATAGGGCCGTAGAGCATTTCGGTGATGACTTGGTAAAAACAACTTTTCTGAGGCTTTCTCATGATTGCCTGAGAAATGAGAACAGTGAAGGTTTGTAGTCTTTGGCCGAGGGTCAGTTTTTTTCTTTTACCCTTAAGGATGAAAATCATTTCATCCAACTAAGCAGATTTCCACTTTGTTTTCACTTCATACTGTTCATTTAATCAACCTCAGCACCGGTCCAATGCTGACATATGTTTACTTTACTTGAGTATTTTCATTTCATGCTACTTTGCTCTTCTATTCCAGAGACATTTCAGGGGCAAATATTGTTCTATGTACTCTTGTCCATTCATTTTACAGTTATTTAGCAGATGGAGACTTTTGAAAACATAAACAAACACTTGGTAAAACTGTTAAATTGATCAAAATTTAAAATAAAAATGTAATGTATAAAAAGTCAATGTCACCCAAACAGGAACTAGATTGGGAAAATAGAAGCATGCTTTCTCAAAGTGAATTCCTGTGAAACCAGGCATGTTACTATAAAGGGGCAGTATACTGTGTGGGTAGGGTGCAACGTAGGCTTATGCATGTGAATCCTAATTAATAAGATAATTGGCCTTTATTGAGTTATGTGGGTAAGCATACTGTGAAATCACTCTCACCACAAATTATTTTTTATCTGCCTTCATTATTGATTAGTATAATTACATTTCCCATCAATTAAAGATTAAATGAAACTACAGCAGGAATTTCCACTGGGGTCTCTTTTTCAAATTTTTTTAAATCAAATAAATCAAGTGTGAAAAGTAATAGTACATAATTTTAAATTTTGTAATTGATCAGTTTCACTTGTCAACTTATATTTAATGTTATTTTATTTTAGCCTCTTCACTGATGCAATGTAATGATTGACACACGTTCTATGTTTTCATTGGTGAAGTCAACAGTCAGTCACACACACACACACACAC